TGGCGGTCACTTTGCTCTGCGGGGATGAGGCCTGTGTTAGGCTGTGTTTTTGGCTGGACATCTACTGTTGGTCGCCTACATGCACTCTGTGGAATGTTGAAGGAATCCACAACACCCAGTTTGGATGGCTATCCAAACTGGAGCCACTTCCAGGAACGTGCAGTGTGGCCAGTAGAGTAAGTTCACGGGGGTTTTGTAGCCATAGGCTTTCCTCCTTTTCACAGACACAGAAGCTCGAAGGAGCTTAACATGAATCACTTTGCAATTTACTTGCTACAACTCAAACACTCGTCTTCTGCTATTCAGCTCTCGACTCGCTCAAACTCTAAGTGCTCAAGAGCGCTGGCCCTTCCTACACTCAACACGCTCTTAGTATCTTTGCGAGAGAAATGCATTGACGCGACTATAATGTCTGGACCTCGACGTGGACAACGCGTGTTTATCCCGCGTATCGTGTTTCTGAGCGATGACGAGGATAAATAATTTCCGTTTATCCTTCGACGCAAACAGTTCCCGGTAGTACTAGCGTTTGCGATAACGATTAACAAGGCGCAAGGTCAGTCAATTCACCACGAAGGTATCTACCTGGAAACATCTGTGTTCGCACACGAACAGCTATACGTTGCCCTATCTCGAGTAACATCCAGAAAGGCGATTAAGATAGCCATTGATCCGAGAGACTTTGTTGACAGCGCGGTGCACACCAAAAAAATTTGTACAGAGAGATTTTTCAGTAGATAACTCTGTAATACACGGGGATTTAGTAACAAATTATTTATTTTCTGCTAAATGTGATCTAAATGATGATTTTACCATTTTTTTTACCCAACTAATACTACGATTTAGCTTAGTCGTATTTATATAAGACCACGCGCCCGCGTAGCGGGCCCCACGAACACTAGTAACCGAATGTATAGTATGTAGCATTTTCAAGATCTACTCTACATAGAGATTAATGGGTGGAAGGAGAGTGACAAGGTCGGGCACGCAGTTCGGTAACCCGCGTATGCCATTGGTAGGTACAGTCTGTCAGTGGATCAAAAAAGCGTGCGTGGCACTGACAGCACCACAGTGAGAACTCTGTAGCTGCCTTAGGGATCACCGGGAATTGGATGGATTGGCACGTTTCATGCCACGATGTTGTTCCGTGCAAAGCGGGAAGCTCGTGGTGAAAGCCAGGAAGAAGGCGACGGCTTCGACCTCGACGAGCTTCATGATGCTTTCATGATATCGCTTTAATCGACGAGTACGACGCAAGGACAAAGTGTAACCTTTTGAATACAGAGTAACCTTTTTGCGAATCGAAAGGGGTACTTTTAAATAGTACCCCGGGTATTGTTCTGAAATATCCATTATTCTCTGTTGATCTGGTAGAAACTAGAATGATACAACCAATAATTGTTTTGATACAGATTATTGTGCTTTGCACATGTTTTGGCAAAAGAGGGGTATATTTCATAGTTATAAAAACTCTATTTAGGATGGCCGCCATGCTTACTGTCGCTATGGTTGGTCAGCACGCAATACTAAGTGCATTGTTAAGCTTCCATTCTCTCGTGGAAAACGTCGATCGATTTTTGCTGCCGTGGACCATACTGGTTTTGTTG